CCTGACCTAGGTGGCTTATTTTCCTTCATGTTGTTACACCATGTGAGTCCTGAGTCTAAAGTTTTCATCCCGTCTAAAGACATCGTTTTTATGACTTGTACTCCTTGCTTCTTCTCTATTAGCTCTTCCTGGTATAGAAAGCAAGATGGCTTATACAGCCCAAGAAGGGCTTGTCTCACTTTTCATTTCTTCTCAAGCATTTATTGAGCTCCTGTTGCGTGCACAGCTCAGGATGTCTGCATCACTGTCGCTCTGTCGGGTTTTCTCTCTTTGTAGTTGTCCCGGCCATATTTCCTTTTTGAACTGTTTTTTTTTCGCCTCTGATTTCCAGCTTGCAGAACTTAGTTACACATAAAGTGTAAGTCACATAGCAGCTCTCCCTTTAAGGATGAAAAGGACTTAATTGTCACAAGTTTTGCACTTATATGTTGTTCACAAAAGCTTTAAAACTTAAAAAGTGGCACTTTTGCTAGAATGAGTGCAGGAAGACATTCTGAGTGCGGTCTGTGTGCTTTCTCATGGCACAAGGGCCATCCATCTGAGAATCAGATTTAGAACTGGCTCTGCTAGTTGCTGTGATAGGAGCAGTTGTAGACATGCCCGGATAGTCAGTTTAAGGGAAGTTAGATGTTCAGAAGGGACGTTTCTGTGTGGAAGGTTCTGGGGCAGCCACTTAGGGCTTCACTCGGACTGCACAGTCAGGCTGCCTGATTTCAGGTTCCAGCTTTGACACTATTGAATTGCCCAAGTCATTCAACCTCTCCGCGCCTCAGTTTCCCCATCTAAGTGATGATAGTGCTCATTAATAATAATTTAAAAAATTTACTGAGCCCCTACAAAGTGTCAGACACTGTTCTAGGCATTTGGGATTCATTAATGAACAAAGTGAGGAAAAGAACTCCAACCCTTACGAAGTTAAAATTCTATGGGAGTGAAGAGCCTAAATTCAATTTCACATGTAGCCCTAGCTGGCGTGGCTCAGTGGATAGAGCGTCAGCCTGCGACTGAAGGGTCCCAGGTTCGATTCAGGCCAAGGACACGTGCCTGGGTTGCGGGCTCGGTCCCCAGTGTGGGGCATGTAGGAGGCAGCCAATCAATGATTCTCTCTCATTATTGATGTTTCTAACTCTCTCTCCTTCTCCCTTCCTCTCTGAAAC